CTTTTCTTTAGTCATAATACAATCTAAAGGAACACTGTTTAGTCAGCAAGTCTTCACTGAATACTAAGATAGCAATTCTTTAAAGTGTGGTTCCTGGATCTGCAGCATCAACATCACCTGGTAACTTGTTAGAAATGTAAACTCTAGGGCCCCGAAGGTAGAATCAAGGTCTGGGGGTGAGGCCCAGCAATCAGTGCTTTCATAAGCCCTCCAGGTGACTGTGGTGTTTGTTCCAGTTTGAGAGTTTACAGACTAGTTTCACAGAGCTCAGGGTGCTTTGTTCTGCAGGGACTAGGAAGTCCTAAGGCAGGGGAGTGATATGGTTCCTAGGTATATCCTCTACAGCGCCTAGCACAGTGTCATACACATAGCAGGCAGTCAGATCTTAACAGGTTAACAGTTTCATACAACCAACAGCTGGCTAGACAATAACACCATCAGTTTATTTATTTCACAGAGATAAGGAATTCTGATGACTGTCTGCATTAACTAATAATAAGTAAGTACATGGTGTGCACACACACCAGGAGCTGCTAAATTGGCAAAGCCCTCCAGGACCTCTGGTACCTTTGGCAAATAACCCAGGCTTACTTACAAAATGTCATATGCTTTGAAATGTAAGTGAAAAATACATTTCTAATTTTGCCAGTACACAAACAGGATTTGTCCATGACCTCTATACAAGTCAACTGTAGAACATAAGCTAAAATGCAAACTTTTTTGTTGCCTTTAAAAAAAAGCATCCTGGGGGACTTCCCTGATGGTCCAGTGGTAGATAATCCACCTTGCAATGCAGGGAACGCAGGTCGGGAAACTAGGATCCCACATGCGGTGGGGCAGCTGGGCCCCGCACCACAACTACTGAGTTCGCGCACCTCAACAAGAGAGCCCGTGTGCGGCAAACTACAGAGCCCAAGTGCCCTGGAGCCCGAGCAACAAAACTGGAGAAGAGAAAACCCGCACACTACAACTACAAAGAAGCCCGCCCACCACAACGAAGAGCCCACGCACCACAAGGAAAGATCTTGCATGCCGCAACTAAGACCCAACTCAGCCAAAAAAAAAAAAAAGCATCTTGAGGACTTCCCTGGTGGTCCACTGGCTAAGGCTCCGCACTTCCAATGCCCGGGTTCAATCCCTGGTCAGGGAACTAGATCCCACATGCATGCCGCAACTAAGACCCGGTGCAACTAAATATATATTTTATTTAAAAAAAGACTCATCTGTGAAGAATTTAAAAAATAAATTTAAAAAAGCATCTTGTTTCACATATTAGCCATCTATAATATATGGAAGCAAGATTTATTCTAATTTGAACAAAGTGTTTTTTAAAAAAAGACAACTGAGGAAACAAGCACTGATTGGATATTTGATATTAAAAAATTATGATAAAGGGATTAAGGTTACATTTTTTAAAGAAGGTTTATCTCTTCTAAAAGCTTTGGAGATGAAATGATATGAAATGATATGATGTACTGAGCTTGCTTGGGGAGAGAACAAATAAAAGAAGTCTGGTCATTAAGCTGTTGAGTACATGGTGGGGGCTAACTAGATACCAGGGTTGCCCAACCCTGGCACTCTTGACATTTTGGGCCAAATATTTCTTTGTTGAGGGGCCAGGGGGCACTGTCCTATGTACTGTAAAATGTTTAGCTGCATTTCTGGTCAGTAGCAACGCTCTTCAGTTGTGACAACCAACAATGTCTCCAGACATTGTCAAATGTCCACTGGGGGGGGCGTGGCAAAATTGTCCCCAGTTGACAACCATTGATAAATACTTATTAAATTCTCTTTATTTGTTTGAAATTTTCCATAGCAAAACATTTTTAGAAGTCTAATTTTAATTATACTCTGTGTATTGGTACAACTACATCTCCCTAGTTGAATAATTAGTACATAGCTTTTGAGAAACAGTCTGCTACACAAAAAAGCAGAGAGGATTGAGATGGAGACCTGAGGTCTAGTACAGGCTCTGCTGCTAAACAGTGAGTAGTCACAAGCAGCTCCTGTCATCTCTCTGAGCCTCAACATCCTCATTAGGTCTGACTGTTTGACTAGTCCTTCTGAGTTTTAAAATGATTTGATAACAGTTTTATCTTTTTTTTTTTTTTTTTTTTTTTTTGCGGTACGCGGGCCTCTCACTGTTGTGGCCTCTCCCGTTGCGGAGCACAGGCTCCGGACGCGCAGGCCCAGCAGCCATGGCTCACGGGCCCAGCCGCTCCGCGGCATGTGGGATCTTCCCGGACCGGGGCACGAACCTGTGTCCCCTGCATCAGCAGGCGTACTCTCAACCACTGCGCCACCAGGGAAACCCCAGTTTATCTTTTTATACACCTATCAGCTAATGGTGAATACTCACATCTGGAAATCAAACAACTGAAAATAGAGTAGTGTACTAGCATGAAGATAATATTCTTCTTGCAAATTATCTGTCTTTTATTATTCCTGATCTATAAGCAAAATTCTTACCACAATTATATTTACTTAAAATTTAAATAAGATTCCTAGGGTAAGCAAAATGGAGAGTCTTTTTACAAAATATAAAGACAAAGCTATTTGTCGTATCAGCCAAAATGTCCATCAACTGGTGAATGGATTTAAAAAAACCGGTACATCCAAACAATGAGTTCATTACTACTCAGCAATAAAAAGGAGTGAACTACTGATACACACACAAACATGAATAAATCTCAAAAGCATTATGCCAAGTGAAAGATGCTACACACAAGATTACATGCTCTCTGACTCCATTTAAAAACGTTCTAGAAAAGGTAAAACTATAGAGACAGATAACCGATCAGTAGTTGCCAGGGGCTGGGGGAAGGGAGAGGGGATTGACTGTAAAGAGACACAAGGGACCTTCTTAGGCAATGGAAACATCCTCTAACTTGGCCGTGATAGTGATTATGTGACTATACATTTGTCAAAACTCATCAAACTGTACACTTAAAAAGAGGGAACGTTCTATCTCAATACACCCAACTTTAACAAAAGAGATGCCCAACAGACTGAGAACTCCCATTCATTCTTGAACCCTCATCACTCGATTGGCAGGAAGTCTAACACTTAGCAGTTCAGTAGTGGTAGGTAAATAATATGGTATATGCCAGACGTGTAACACTGGCACAAGGGCACCACACTGTGAAAGATACACAACTACTTCCAGAACACGTCAATGCCGGAGTTAAAGCAGGGCATGGTGAGCTAATGCAATGATGCGCTACAAACCTCTATTTTAGCACTGTCAAAAATTCAATTTTAAATACATTCCATGAGAATGAAGGCATACTCCATACCCTACATTGTTTTTAAAGTTAGTAATTCCTAACGACACAAAAAGACTACACCGTAATTCAACAAATTCAACAGAGAACAAGGTAAAGACCCATGTGGTGTAAATTCTTCATTATAACAAACCTGCTATGATTGTTTCTGGCTTCAGTTTATTCAGTAAGTACGGAGCTCCTGCTCTGGTTCAATGTAAGATTTTGCAATGGAAGTCAATGATCAAAGCTAATCAACTCACTTTTTTGCTTGCTCCGCCCGACAGGGTAGTCAAAGAACAACAAAATGATGAAGTAAGAATTAGGTTCTTCAAAGGGTCTATGAGAAAATAAGTTCACTGACTCCCCTAGTCTAGATTTTCTACTACTTTTTATGTAACTTTCTAATCCATCTCAGGTAAAGGAACATACACCACTGTACCACTTATTTACCAGGTTAAAGAGCATTAAATACCACACCTTAATATACTGGAGGGATGCCTTAGACCAAGGTTTACATAAACAGATTAAATCATCTGACAGCTATCCAGCAAACAAGTGGCATTCTGAAGATTAAAATGAAGGCATTTGATACCACTAGGCCACAAGGTCTCAGGACGTAATTGAAAGCATGAAAACAGGCAGAGCCAGGAAGCTTTTCCTAAGTGATAGCATTTTCTTGCCAGGAATTACCTCATAACACTTAAAATAAAAGGCCAGTGAAGTTTCTTTACGAGTTATTTTTTAGATATTTTTGTTTTTAACAGAAGACAACTCACAGGTAGCTTGGAACAGTCCTGAAGCCAGTGCTAGAGAAGAGTTCAGAATGCACTTGGACAGAGTCAACATTTCTCCAGTGGAATTTCTACTACAAGTTGTCAGGCCCTAAAACTGCTTGCTGTTCCTGGCCTTCTGAAAAGGTTTACGTGAACAAAATCAAAGGTTCCTTTTACAGAATCACAGAATGTGAGTGCCAGAATGGACCTAAGAGCTCATCTAAGCCAACTTCTTTTGGGGAAGGGGGAAAGTTAAGCCCAGAGTGGGTGGCCCTCCGCTAGGCAGTGGGTGGCAGGGCTGCTTGACTACACATCCTCCTCTGAAATGTGCTTAACCAGCTCCTTCAAAACAGATTCGTAAGGAAACGGGGCTACTCCTCGACAAAGTCTTAGCTCTCTCCAAGAACTTCTGAACAGCTTCGGAGTTGCATCGAAGGGGGCCGAGAAGATTCCTCAGTGCGCACCTAGTTTTAGTGACTGTCACTTAGTTTAGTGACCGTCGCTAAATTTAGTTCGAGACAACTTAAAGAACGAGGCATGACGGACAGTCCACTCGATCCAATCAATTGCGTTTAATCAACACCACAAACGTGTTTTTAACCCGACAGCCTCTCATGAGATGCCTACCTAATTTAAAAGGTGAATTTAGTGGAAATAAGCCCTGTACACTGCGGGGACCCGACACACGCTCGGAGAGACCACCGCGCGGCCACCGGCCGGCCACGCTGCAGCCCTCAGGGTTCGCTACGAAGCGAGCCCCCGGCGTAATCGCGGATGCACTTCCCCGGCCCGCGCGCTCGGGAAACGGGCCGCCGAGGCCGCCTCCCGGGGCCCATGGCCGTCCACCGGGCCCAGAGCGCCGCGGCCTGGGGACCCGTCGGCGGCGAGGCGAGGGCTGCGGCCGCGCTCCCGGGGACGGCACGCGCAGACCTGGCCCGGGGCAGTCGCCTAGGTTACTCACGTTCTCAGTGTCCCGTTCATTCACCGTCGGCAGCGGGGTCCTAGTGGACATTTTACTTCACTTCACTTCTGCACAACGCGAGGGTGAAACAAATCAGCGCGGTCCCGGGGGCCGGAGAAGCGGCGTCGAGGGCCCGGCGGTTCCGGAGCGGCGCCGCTGCAGGGCGGCTCCCCTCCCCCACGGCCGTCTAGATCCCGGGTCGGGCCCGGGCCGTCCCCCGGCGGGTCGCGGGGCTCATGCTCCCCCGGCCCCGGCGGCCGCGCCGAGGAGCCCCGCGGGCGGCGGTGGCGGGGCCGGGCCGGCGGCGGCGGGCTGCGGGTCGGCCCACTGGCGTCCCCGCGCCTCCGGGCGCCCCGCGGGCCCGGACCCCCTCGCCTCCTCCTCCGCCCCCGCCCGTCGCGCCGCGGATTTCAGCGCCGGGGCCTCCACACAGCGCCGCCGGCGGCCCCTGAAGAAGAGGAGGATGTGGAGGAGGTGGAGTGCAAGACAGGTCCCCACGGCCTGCGGGCGCCGACCATGGATGGGGCTGCGGAGGCGGCGCCTGCACCCGGCTGTTCTTCTCCCTCCGGCTCGCTTTCCGCCTCAGCCTCCGCCCAGTGGCCACCGACACCGCCGCCCCCAGCACCTCCGAGCCTCACGGACCCAAGATGGCCGCCCCTCGGCTTCCTTTGCTGCCTCCGGATGCCGGAAGTGACGGCACCGCCGCCTCCCGGAGTCCAGCCAATTAGCGCGGCCCGAGGAAGCTGGCCCGGCTGCTGTTGCTAGGGGTGACTCGGCCTGGTCTAGAGCCGAGGGGGCGGCGCCCGAGGCTGGGCAGGGCTGGCGGGTCCCGGCGGGCAGCGGGGGCGGCGGGTTCCCAGCGTCCAGAGCACGCGGCACCCGTGAAAGAGCCGGCAAACGGCCCTGGGCGGCGGCCTGAGCTTGACTGCTGGATTGATACTTATAGTGTTGATCGAGGGCCTGCTGTATGCAAAAGCTGAGGTAGCGTCCCTCAAAAGCTGGGACCGCGCTGCCCCAAATCGAGATATAACAGCAATTATAGGGCCGGGGCTGTGGGGAGGAGCCGAGTTCCTGCATCGTTAACGGTGACCCGGGAGCCGAGGACTCAAATCACCCTTCCTGCCTCCGGCTCTGAGCAGCCGGGGCTGGGCTCAGCATCCGGAAGGCGGCAGACGCGTCCTGCCCTCAAGGAGCTCGCAGTCAGGAGGGAGATGGACCCGGACCCAGCTAAAAGCCTTTCGTAAGGAAGAGCGCTAGAAGGTGGCGGGGAGCCCTAGAAGCCCCCTGGGATCACCGCCTAAATGCCTGTAGGGGATTTATAACCAGACTTCAAACCCCGGGTCGGATGCTCAGATGCTCAGTGGACGGATGCTCCACCTTGGGGCGGAGCTCGGTGGACGCTTGCAGACTGGGACGTTGGAAATGGAACCTCCCCTAGAAGACTTCCTTGCTCTGGAGCCTCTGAATGTCTCCCGAGGACCTGCCTAGAGCCGAGCCAGCGTTGGATGGAATGCTTTGGTGCAGGGTTCTGAGGAGGAAGAGCGGAATGGTCTGGAGTAACATGAACTGTTACTGAGAGTCTACCTTGTGGGTACATTACATGTTACCTCATTTAAGCCTCAGAGTAACCCTGTAAGATGTACAGACACACCTTGTGATCCCAAGTCTAAACAGGTTACAGTGACTTGACCAAAGTACCCAAGTTGGTTAGCCGCAAAGCTGGGATTTGAACCTATATCCTAAAACTTTCGTAACAGATAAGCCCTTGTAGTGGGTATGTCTTGCTTTTCTTTTTCTATTTTTAATGTTTTCTCTTTTGGTCCCCCAGGATGTGACTCCTCTTGCTATGTCTGGGACATTTCCTGCCCTGTGAGACATATACGTCTTTAAACACCAGAATCATTCCCATGTGAGGACTAAGATGCAGTCAGGGCTTGCATCTCTCCCTCTCAGGAAAGTGTTCACTGGGCCAAGGACAGCCCTGTTTAAAATGTCCTTCTCTTTCTCCCTCTTTGGCCAAGCAGAGATGGTTGAATTCTTGTTAGTTAAATGTGTGTTTCACACAGTTCAAGTGAAATGTGGGTGAGCACAAGATTGTGGGAGTCCCTGAAGGGACACTTAGCCCAACTTGGGGAGTTGGGTCAAGGAAGCTTCCTGGAAGAGTGGTGGTTATGCTGAGTCTAGAAGCATGAGTCGAGTTAGCTAGGTGAGGATGGGTGGAAAGGGATGCCAAGCAGGATGGCCTGTACAGATGAGGAACGACATGGTGGGTTTAGGTCAATGTCAAGAGGTGAGAGGTGAGACTGGAGGGGTAGGCAGGGGCCAGGCCAGGTTTAGACACAGCATGGCACTCCTGATGACAGGAATGTCAACTAGGTCAGCTGGGAAAACACGCAGAGGACCCACAAAAGGGTTTCAGCCTTGGGCAGGAGCTGAGAGAAAGGGTTTGGATGATTCAGAACATTCCACATTGGCCAGAGAAGTGGCTGGGGGTGAGGTTTCCACCTTGATGCTTTTTTCACTGAAGCCACACATTAAATAATGAGTCAGTGAATGCCAAGAGGTAGGAAGTGAAACTGACAGTACTTAACTCAAGATGCTTCTGGTTTTCATAAAGGCTAGAATTAAAGAAACACTTTGAACTTTTCATAGCGCTTATGTCAAATGATATCATGGTACCATAAGGAGCTGGAAATGGGAGATAAGGCGTACATGTTATGTGAAAACTGGAGAGGAGGAGGAGGAGAAAAAAGAAAAGAAAAGAAAAAACAACACATTATTCTGTCTGAAGGACCCTCTGTAGCCTGAAATATGTACTTCTGTGGATCTATGGTCTGGAAGGAATGGAAGCACAGGATCTGGAAGTTTTCCTGGAATCCCTTCTTCTGTCCTTTTTCATATTCCTGTTTCCTATCATCATATTAAAATAGGTTCTATTTCAGCCTCCTTAAACTGAAAAGACATAACTAAATATACCAAGTTGTGTATGTGCTTAGGTAGTGCCTACTTTCATGTCAAGGAGGAAGGTCATCCTGAGAGGTAAGAAACTGAAGATAATCTAGTCCTACCCTTGCTGCTTTAGGACAAAAGAGAAACTGAGCCTCAAAGAGGTGAAGTGACTTGTCTGAAGTTGACAGCTGGTTAGCAGCAGAGCCAGAATGGGGCCCAGATTTCAGAAGCCCCAGACCTATGTCCTTGCTCCACAGCTACTATGGGCATGTGGTGGGGAGATCTGTTTAGCACCCACCCCATCCCAGCACCAGAAAGAACGAGTAACTGCACTAGTCCTGAGATTGCTCTCCTCTGGACTTCTTATGCAAGAAAAATAAGTCCCCATTTGTTTAAGCCATGAGAGTTTAGGCTGTCTGCTACTTGCAGCCCAGTGCATTCCTAACCAAGACTATCATGTCAAGTGGTCAGATCTCCTGACCCCTGGGCCTGTGTTCTCTGCACCACATCTAGTTTGGACAGAGGTGGAGAGGCCTGCTTCTGCCTGACCATCACACCACAGCATTCACAAGCACAACTCCCCTTTGAGAAGGTGTGGGAACTGCTGGGATCCAGGATCCATTCCTCAGCATGTGTGTGCATGTGTGTGTTGTTGTTGTGTAATTGATAGGGAGCAGAGAGCTGAGCACTGAGAATAAATAAAGCCAAGAAGAGAAGGGGTATGATAATTGTGGGACATCTGGGGGTCATCATGCCTGGAGGCAGGGACAGGTGTGCCCCCAAATAGGCCACAGATGCTTAGAGGCTGCCACCCAGGGAAATATAAAGTCCATTCCAGACTCCACCCTCCCCAGCTTCCCCAAGCTGCTCCCCAACATACCGGGGGTCAGAGCAGACATGCTGCTATTCTTTTAATTCACTGCTCTGGTCTCCTTCACCCCATTGGGGCCATTGTTTTCCTCTGTGAGGGCCAGCAGGCAGTTTAGGAATTCTCACATCCAAGACTTGTCCCTGCTGTTCTGCCTGGGATGGCTTCTGGTCTACTTGAATCTTCCCTATTGTTACAAGGCCCTGTCGTCTTACTTCTTCTATGGGACCTTCTCAGACTAGCTCCCAGTGAACATTCCCCCACTCCCAGAATCCTTGATTTTTGCTGCCTGAGGTCATAGTACGTTTACTGAGTTCCATTTTGAGTACATTTACTGTGCTCCAGCTCTATTGGCAATGCACCAAGCACCTATGGTAAGACCACTAACTGCACCAGCCCGGTGAGGGAGATGTCAGCCAGTGCTCAGAGAGAGGCTGTAACTTGTCCCACGTCGGCACAGTTCACAGAACAGCCATGATCGGACTCCAAAGCTGTGCTCTTCCCTCCAGTTGTCTAGTGGTGATTGGTTCCTTTTGTTCTGGGTAAGTGGAGGGCATTCTAGTCCGTTTGCTTAGCTCTGAGGAGGGCCCAGTTTGAAACCCAGCATAGATCTGTCAGGGGTTTTCCACCCTTCTCTCTTCCACAGTACTGTATCTTTTCAGGATAATTGTGGATGGACTGTTTCTGAGATGGATCACAGACTTCCCAGCCTTCCTAAACACACTATTCTGAAATTTTCAGCTTTTATGAAGGACTCATAGTCCTTTTATCAGTTCCCATGATGCACTGCAATATTGGGATGGCCTTGGGGGATATGGGGATAGAAAGGGCCACCTGCCTGGGCACTTAGCAGCCCCAGGCTATTGAAATGTTCTATTCTCTCATTTGTTGGAGATTATAGATCCAGATCTAGGTACAGAAGGACACGTATATGACCTTCTGTTGGGTATCATTCCTATATCCTGACAGTGGAGCTCTCTGTGCAGGCCCTTTCCTCCGTCCACTCGGCTCTGAGCTGGGAAAACCCACTGTTTAGAACTGTATCCAAAGGTCTATGGAGACAACAGAGGTGGTAGGAAAGCAAGGGCTCTGGAGTTTCAACCCTGGGTTTCAACCCTGGCTATGACCCTGAATGCTAGGTGACCTTGGCAAATCACTTCATGTGTTTGAGGCTCAATTTCTTTTTTTGAAATAATTAATTAATTTGGCTGCGCTGGGTCTTAGTTGCAGCATGTGGGATCTTCCTTGCGGCATGCGGAATCTAGTTCCCTGAGCGGGGATTGAACCCTGGCCCCCTGCATTGGGAGCACAGAGTCTTAGCCACTGGACCACCAGGGAAGTCCTAAGGCTCAATTTCTTAATCAGTCAAATGGGAATATTAGAACCTTCCACCCATGGTTGCTGTGGGGATCCATGGAGATAATGCCCAGAGAATAGCCAGCATGTATGTGCAGATTTCACCCTCCCACCGCAGAGAGGACCCTCCTTTCCGGGCAGCTGCACTTCTCAGTTCTCCCCTGGATGAGCACAGGACTTGGAATCTGTAGACATAGGTCAAGGTTTACCAGGCCACACATGGCTGCGTGTCAGAGTGTCACTCCTCCTCCCATCCAGTTTCACCTAGCTCACTGGGCACTGAGCTCGTTATAGGAGGTAATGGGTACAAACGAGCTTGGTAAGGGGTGCTGCAATACAAAAGGTGTTGGTGTTTGTATTATTGCCTCTATTTTGTAGACAGGAACATGGAAACTCAGGAAGGGCAGGAGGCGTGCTCAAGCTGCCCAGGGCAGAAAGCAATGCCCTCAGATTCCACTCTGGTGGCTCTGACACCATGCTGGCGGCGAAGACAGATGGGCAACAAAAGAATGAAGGAGAAAAAGGATGAGTGGGTAAATAAAACCTGCTCTCTCCTGGAGCATCATATCTGCCCCTTCCTTTAGGGTTGTCCTATTAAAGTAAACATCCCCCCAAAATACAAATCTCCCAAATACAAATCATAACTTTTAAGTCTAAGCTCTGTCAGAGGAAAGAATATTTCTTCCATTATATAGGTTCCTGCCCAACCCTTGGAGCCACGGGACCCCCACAAAAAGCCGTGTTAGCCCTTAAGGGTGGCCCTCTATCCTTCCCCACTCTCTTTCCTCTGCTCCTTTCTTCCACAGCGTTAGGTGAGCACCTGCCTTATGCAAAGCAGTGGTTTAAGCACTGGGGATATAGCTGTGAACAGAAAAAGTTAAAGTTCTTAAGCGTCACTTACAGGATACATGTAAAAGAACTCAAAAATAATATAATTTCAAGACAATAACTAATAAAAAATTTAATCAGGGTAAAGTGATAGAAACTAGCTCTTTGTTTAAATATTTATTTATTTATTTTTGGCTGTGTCGGGTCTTAGTTGCAGCACACGGGCTCTTTCATTGCGTTGCGTGGGCTCTGTAGTTGCGGCACTCAGGCTCTCTAGTTGTGGCATGCGGGCTTAGTTGCCCCGTGGCATGTGGGATCTTAGTTTCCCGACCAGGGATCGAAGCTGCACCCCCTGCAGTGGAAGCATGGAGTCCTAACCACTGGAACACCAGGGCGTTCCCTAGCTCTTTTGTTTTAATTCAAATTTTATTCAGTTTTTTTCTTTTGGTAATAGATGCACATGGTGCAACATTTAAAAGTTGCAAAGGAACATACAGTTACAAAAAAGCTCCCCTCCACCCTATAACAATTTCTGTTTTTGAAAATATCAAGAAGGTGAAAATACAAACCTCAAATTGAGAGAAGATGTAACTGATAAAGGATTCATATCCATACTCCGTAAAGAATGTCTACAATTGGGGCTTCCCTTGTGGCACAGTGGTTAAGAATCCGCCTGCCAACGCAGGGGACAGGGCTTCGAGCCCTGGTCCGGGAAGATCGCACATGCCGTGGAGCAACTAAGCCCGTGCGCCACAACTACTGAGCCCGCGCTCTAGAGCCCACGAGCCACAACTACTGAAGCCCGTGTGCCTAGAGCCCATGCTCCGCAACAAGAGAAGCCACCGCAATGAGAAGCCCGCGCACTGCAACAAAGAGTAACCCCTGCTCGCCACAAGTAGAGAAAGCCCGCGCACAGCAACGAAGACCCAATGCAGCCAAAAATAAAGAAAGAAAGAAAGACTTAAAAAAAAAAAAAAAGAATGTCTACAATTTAGTAAGATAAATAACATAATATGAATATGGAAGAGACATAAAGGCAGGGGGAAGGCATAAAAGCAGGCACTTCACAGTGGTCAATAAATGTAAGAACAAATGCTGAAACTGATTTGTTAATGCAAATGCAAACCAAGACCATAATGAGTTACCGTGCAACAGCCACCAGAAGCAGTCAGACAAAAGCAAGTGTTGCTGGGTATGTGGAGCAAAAGGCACTCCAAGACGCTGCTGGGAGGAGTGGAAATTGATAAAAAAGGCCAGAGCAGAAAATTATGAGATGCAACACATACACCACACAGAGGACCAACAAAGCCAAAAATTGGTTCCTTGGCAAAAATGAATACAATCGACATCTTGGGAAACAATCTGGCATCAGTGAGTATGCTTGAAGTTGTGTATCCCCTGCAACCCAGCGATACCATCCACAGTATTTACCCTAAAGAACCTTCTGACCATGTGCACAGGGGACATGCATAAAAATATTACCACATTGCCATTTGTAATAGGAAAACCCTAGAAACAACCTAGTTGTCCACTATCTGTGTGAATAAAGACTATAGCATGTTCACACCAAGAAATAGTATACAGCAGAGAGAACTTTATTGCAACTATGCAGAGCGACGTGGATGAATCACAGTTCTTGAGTACAAAAACAGTTCACATAGACTATATAAAGCATGATTCATTTATGCAAACTGCAGAAACAAAAACATGTAAAACCAACATATTGTTTAAGGATGCAAACATAGGGGGTAAAACAATTGAAAAAAACGTTAAGGGGGTGATAAACCCCCCCAAATCAGGGTAGCGGTACAGTGCTTACCTTTAGGGGAGGAAGAGGGAAACGAGAAGCAAGTACAGGAGCGTTTGTGTATCACAGCTCCTGACCAATACTTGAGATGTACCTGTCAATGAAAACAAATAACTTATTGATGTGAAATTCACAGAACATAAAATTAACAATTTTCAAGTGAACAATTCAGGGGCATTTAGTACACTGGCAAGGCTGTGCAAGCACCATGTCTGTCTAGTTCCAAAACATCTCCATCACCCCAAAATAACACCCACACCCTGTTAAGCAGTTTCTCTCACCCCTCCCCCCAACCCCTGACAGCCACCAATCTGTGTTCTGTCTCTGGATTTGCCTATGCTGGATATTTCAGATATCAATGGAACCAGACATAATTTGATCCTCTGTGTCTTGCCTCTTTCATTAAGGACAATGTTTTCAAGGTTCATCCACATTGTGGTATGTATCAGTACTTCCTTCTTTTTCGTGGCTGAATGGTAGTCCGTTGTACAGATAGACCCCATTGTGTTTATCCATTCATCCATTCATAGTCATTTGGCTACTTTTTGGCTACTGTGAATAGGGCTGCAATGGCCATGTGTACCCACATACCCGCGTGAGTACCCGTTTTCAATTCTTTTAGGTATACATCTAGGAGGGGAATTGCAGTTCTATTCAGTTTTTATTAAAAAATAAAAATCATGAACAAATGTTGGCCAAAAAGAAAATAAAATGACCCTCCGGCGGGTGTGGAGGGGCTGAGAGGGAAGCTGCAGGCCTGGTGAGGAAACTGCTGCACAGCCAGGAGTGAAGAGGGAGCTGGGGCCGGGGCGGTCGTGCCAGGTCAGATTTGGGAGCGCTTATCCCTGTCAGGACTGCAGGACTTGCTGATGGACTGGATGCTTGGGGAGACAGAAAAAGAGGGACTGAGGCTGGCTCCCAGTAGCATTTCCTGAGATGGGGGAGACGTGGTTGAGGGAGGGGCGCTGGGGGATGGCAACAGAAATAAATCCGGTTCAGTTTTGGACACGTTACTTCTAAGATCGCTGTCAGACATCAAATGCAATAACCCGGGACCTATTTTGTGTCATAATTTCCATCTAATAAAAATGGAGTGTGGGGAAGAAAGACATAATACCTCTTGCAACATTATTATTATTGTAACTACGTTTTGGTTGGTTGGTTGGTTGGTTGGTTGGTTTTTTCTCGGGATCTTAGTTCCCCGACCAGGAACTGAACCCAGGCCCCAGGCAGTGAAAGCACCGAGTCCTAACCACTGGACCGCCAGGGAATTTGTTATTATTGTAACTACATTTATTCAGGAATATAAACTCAGTAGGAGGCATGACTATAAATCTGTTTTTCTCTGCTCCCTGTTTTCAGCAGAGTACTGTTGAATTCCTAACTTTCTGGACATTTTCAGTTGTTGAAAGTCTGGCCCAGTTTAAAGCTGCCAGATCGAACTCGTTGTAAGGGTGGGCTTCACCCCACCCCATGCGGCTGGTGAGCCACCAGAGGAGGAAGGGGGTGGCCCCTGGTCTTGGCACACCTCCTCCCTTTCTGGGTTGGAGCTCCTTGGAGCAGGAGGGGAAGGGCAAATACTGGGGTGAGCCATGTCTGCCCCAGAGGATACTGAGGGTCAGAGAAGCAGCAACAACCCACCCACCAGCCTGCACCGTACACCTGTTTAATGCCTCATGGCTGGGAGACCCCACGGATAGCCCTGGGCCCTATGGAGGGCCACCTTTTTCTTCTACTTCCCTGCATATCTGGGGAGTCTGGGCTTAAATCCTTCCGGCCCCCTCAAACCTTCCTTGGACCCTCCCTGGATCCTCGGCCCCTCTTTCCTCTGTACCCTCTCCCTCCCTACAGACCCTTCCCCTCAGGCACCAACCGATGCCTTTCTCCATGTTCTAAAACAGGGGACCCTTGGGACTTCCCTGGTGGTCCAGTGGTTAAGACTCCACGCTCCCAATGCAGGGGGTCTCGGTTCGATCCCTGGTTAGGGAACTAGATCCCGCATGCCTCAACTAAGAGCCCACATGCCGCAACTAAAGATCCCGCATGCCACAATGAAGATCCCACAGGCGGCAACAAATATTTTTAAAATAAAATAAAACAGGGGACCCTTGTTTGTTCCCTGCCCCCAGCCTTTGGTTCCCTTCTCTTGCATTGTTGCTGAGGTCAGACTGTCCCCACCATCTCCACACAAGGCCCCAGTGACTCCCAGGTTGCCCCCTCCTACAGGTATTCCCAACCTCACCCTCCATCAACTGTCTGTGGTATATGGGAAGGCCCATCAACCTGCCTGCCTTCCCTCTTATCTTCCTGGCCTCTCCTGCAGCGAATGAATTCCCATTTTACAGACGAGAAAACTGATACTCCTAAAGGTTAAGCAGTTTGCCGAGCTCCCCCAGGTGGTAAACGCTGATACCAGAACTCGACTCCATCTGTGCCCCGGAGTCTGCGTGGGACCTGGGGAGTGTCTGAGCTCACCTGGAGGTGGGTCTCCCGCCCCAGATTACACCCCCAGCAGCAGCCAGCCCTGGGCTCCAGTGGACTTTTACAGACTTAAGGATCTGGGGCCCCTGAATTTGGGCAGTGAGAAAATGAAAATGAAATTGAGTGATGAGTAGTTGACTTATTCATCAGAGCTCAGAGGAAGGAGCCTGAGTTTGCTCACGTGGTTAACCCCTCAGCGGACCAGGAGGAAGCAGAAGCCAGGGACTCACCAGGGACTCGCCAGGGACTCGCCAGTGAGAGGTGCTGGAGAGATGGCAGCTCTTCCACCTCTGACCTCCCAGGGGCTGCCTGGGGCCTGCCAGGCCTGGGCTCACTCTGGTGCGGGAAGGGGCATCAGCTGGGTCTGGACAGGAGAAAACCCCAGCGGCCCACATCCACCGAGCAGGACAGTGGATTCCCCTGGGGACCAGCGTGCAGCACCCACAGCATCTCCACAGTGCCCCACACGGCATCCTCCCTGGTCTCCCTGGTCTCAGCGTGTCAGTTTCCTACGACCACAGACAGTGGCTTGAAACAACATGCCTTTATTCTCTTACAGTTCTGGAGGCCAGAAGACCCAAATCAAGGTGTTGGTAGGGCCACGCTCCCTCTGGGGGCTTTAGGGGAGAATCTCTTCCTGGCCTCTTCCAGCTTCTGGTGGCTGCTGGCTCCTTGCCTTGTGGATACATCACTTCAGTCTCTAGCCACAGTGCCATCTCCTCTTCTCTCTGTGTGTCTAACGTCCCACTGCTTTTCTCTTAAAAGGACACTTGTCACAGCTGAGGCCATGCTAAACTAGGGAGCCCTCAGACAGTCCACAGCTGACTGCAGGTGCATGAGTGGACGGACCCAGCTGACATCAACTAGACCCACCTAGATTAGCAGAGGGACCCAGCTTACCTACGCATCCCTGAGCTAAATAAATGCTTATTATTTATTTATTTTAACGTTTTTTATATCGGTGTGATTTGAATCTTTAGTATCTTTATTTCCTTTCTTTGTTTCTTTCTTTCTCTTTGTTTCTTTCTTTCCCTCCCTCCCTTCCTTCCTTCCTTCCTTCTTTCTTTCCTTCTTTCTTTTTTGGCTGTGTCGGGTCTTAGTTGCAGCACGCAGGATCTTCGTTGAGGCACAAGGGATTTTTCGTTGTGGTGCGCGGGCTTCTCTCTAGTTGCAGCATGCGGGTTTTCTCTCTCTGTAGTTGTGGCACGGGCTCCAGGGCGCGTAGGCTCTGTAGTTTGCAGCGCGTGGGCTCTCTCGTTGTGGCGTGGGAGCTCAGTAGTTGTGGCGCGCGGGCTTAGTTGACACCTCCCCTCTCCCCCGCATGTGGGATCTTAGTTTACCGACCAGGGATCAAACCTGCATCCCCTGCATTGGCAGGTGGATTCTTAACCGCTGCACCACCAGGAAAGACCAGGACCTGACATTTTGAGGGCCAGTACTAAGCCTACTGTACTCGGGCTTAGTGGGACTAACTAACTTGCCCAAGGTCACCAACTTGAAGTGACAAAATGACCAAGAAAGTGTGGCTAAAACATGCAGGCAGTTTATAATGACTATTTTTGTGGTTTTGAAAGAAAGGAAGGTAATTCTTCACTTGCTGGTAATGGATTTAACTTCGTCTTGAAGTCAGTGCACGCGGGCATAATTAATGCTTGACTGACCTTTCCGTCCCTCATTATGGATTCGATGTGGGAAGCTGACAGGGAGTAGCTGTCACGAGACGAAGTTCACCCCACCCTTGCACCTGACTGGTGAGGGGCCCTGCCTGAGACCCTTCCTGCCCTCCCGCACTTCTGTTTCCCCATCTGCTGATCACAGCGATTCTGATGGTTCATCATATTCCTCAGCACATGTCAGCTGGGAAAGCAGTTGTCACTATTGCATTTGGAAAATATTTGCCGTCAGTATGATTCCAGGTCAAAAACAAGGGCAGAATTGAAGGAGTGAAACCCTCAAAGGTCTAGCATTTCATCTTGATAACTCCCTGACTTCACACGGACAGCTCAGGAGCTGGGTATGGCTAGGCAGCTTGGAGCCCGCCAAGCCGTTAGACAAAATTCTGTTCCGGCTCGTGCGACCTCAGACATGAGCTGTCCAGGGCTGGGCTTCTGAGTCAGCCCTGAGTCCCACCTACACGCCCTCCCTGTGGGACCACCAGACCCAAAGCCTCCTTTCACAAAGAGGGCAGAAGCACGGATGACTCGGAGTGTGTAACGTGTCCAAGCTCAGATGAATAAATAGATGTGCTTGAATATTAATAAGTAGGAACGGGTTTCTGTGGCCAGGGAAGCCCAAAAAGAGATTCTGTTAAAGTAAACTCTTGAGTCTAGACCTAAGGCAGGCAAACAAACATACAGACAACAACAAAACCCCAAACTTCCTAAAACTCCCCTAAACACAGAAACCTACACACACTTACATACACAGGGATAATTTATAGTTCAAAGAAATCAAGAGAAAACAGTAGCATTGAATGATTATGAAAATTTTACACATCAAAACTTGTGGGATACAACAAAAGAGGCATTTAGAGAGAAAATTATAGCTTTATATGCTTAAATAAGAAAAGAGGAAGAGCTAAAAATTAATGAGCTATGTGTTAATATTACGTAGTTAGAAAAATAACACAGTATACCCAAAGAAAGTAAAACGATCATAATGAAAAGCAGAAATTACTGAAATAGAGAACAAAGGTAAAATGAAATTGACAAAACCAAGAAATAGTTCTTTGAAAAAACTAGGAAAAAAGGCAAAACTCTAGCCTGGTTAACTAAGAATAAAGGAGAGAAAGCATGAATAGCTCATTAGAAAATATAAAGGAGGATATGACCACGAGTGTTGCACGGATTAAAAAATTAAGGGACTACTGGGACCTCCCTGGTGGTCCAGTGATAAGACTCTACGCTTGCAATGCAGGGGGCCCAGGTTCCATCCCTGGTCAGGGAACTAGATTTCGCATGCATGCCGCAACTGAGTCCACATGCTGTAACTAAAAATCCTGCATGCCACAGCAAAGATCCCATGTGCTGCAAATAAGACCCGGCACAGCCTAAAAAAATAAATAAATAAATACTAAAAAAAATTAAGGGCACACCGCAACGAAGAGTAGCCCCCGCTCACTGCAATTAGAGAAAAGCCAGCGCACAGCAACAAAGACCCAACTCAGCCAAAAATAAATAAATAGGTAGATAAATAAATAAATTTATTTAAAAAAATTAAGGGACCACTATCAACAAATTGTGTCAATAATTCTAAAGCTTATATGAAAGAAATTAATTGCTAGAAAACTAAAACATCATCACTACTGAAGAAGAAAGAGGAAATGAATAGCTCTATAACTATTAAAGAAATTGAAGCAAGCCCGAACAGTTTTACAGGTCAGTTGTACCAAACGGTCAAAAGAGCACATTATTTCAGCTTTATATACATTATTTCAGACAAGAAGAAGAAAGACTGAAAATCTATAACCTAAGCAAGCATCTCAAGAAGCTTTAAAAGAAACAGTGAACTAAACTCAAAGAAAGTAGAAGAAAGGAAATAACACAGAGGAGAAAACAAACAACAGAAAGAATGAATGAAGCTACAAGTCTCAGCTCTGGTGAGACTGAACACGGTAAAAGAGAGTAGCACAAATAACAACGTCACGAGTAAAAATAGAAGACATTATTAGAGCTCCTTCAAACATTAAAGTGGCAATAAGAGGGTGTTGAGAGGGTATGAACTTTATAACAATACATTTATTTATTTATGTTACAATCTTTGTTTATATATTTTAAAATAAATTTATTTATTTATTTTTGGCAATGTTGGGTTCTCCTTGCTGCACGCGGGCTTTCTCTAGTTGCCGCGAGCGGGGGCTACTCTTCATTGCGGTGTCAGGCTTCTCATTGTGGTGGCTTCTCTTGTTGCAGAGCACGGGCTCTAGGCGCTCGGGCTTCAGTCGTTGTGGCGCACGGGCTTAGTTGCTCCACAGCATGTGGGATCTTCCCAGACCAGGGCTTGAACCCGTGTCCCCTGCATTGGCAGGCGGATTCTTAACCGCTGCGCCACCAGGGAAGTCCCTAAAACAATATATTTAGAAATGTAGATACTATGGACAAATTTCTAGAAAAATACACCTTACCAAACTGCGTGAGAATAAATAGAGAATCTAAATAGTCCTATAACCAACAAAGAAATTAAACTTGCACCTCAAAACCTTCCCACAAAGAAAATTCTAGGCCCTGATGACTTTACTAGGTGTCCTACCAACTTTTCTTTGTTTTTTGGCCACACCACACGGCTTGTGGGGTCTTAGTTCCCCGACCAGGGATGGAATCCAGGCCCTCAGCAGCAAGAGCACGGAGTCCTAACCACTTGCCTGCCATGGAATTCCCTGTCCTACCAAACTTTTGAAAAGAAGTAACACCAATCTCACACAAACTCTTCCAAAGAAAAGAAAGAGAGGATACTGTACAGCAGAAATTAACACAACGTTGTAAATCAACTGTACTTGAGTAAAATAATTTTTTTTAAAAAAG